AAATACTTTAACGAATGAAATTATACGATTGCCATTTACTTTTTTGTTATGTAAACGAGAAAAAAGGAAAAAGAAAAAGAGAGAGAAAACGATAAAGGAAAAAAAAAGAAAGAAAGAAAGAAAAAGAGAGAAAAGAGTGCAACGCGAGAGAAGAGGAAAGAGGAGGGTAACTCGCGGTTCTGCCGAGCGCGAAATTACACCTTCGTTTTCTTCTTCGTGAGACCCTTTTTGCACTCTCGTCTTTTACGTGGAACACTCCTCCCATTCTACCGTCCAGTAATTTCTCGCGCATTTTCCATCAACGGGATGTTAATTCATCTTTCGACATACTATTCCATACAGTGTGAATCTCGCTAACGATAAAGGAAAAGCCATTGTGAATTTCCTTTCGGTTTTTCTTTTCGATCGCGAAACATTTATTCATAAATTTAATCGAGAAATTATAATAACTTTTTTTTAACAAAATACTTTTTCTATACGTATATAATTATCGTATCTTGGTATTCGTATAAATAAATATTCGCAAAACAATACACTCGCTCATTTAATGTCCTTTGATTATCATTCGACGAATAATAGTAACGGAAAGTAGTATATATCAACGAAATAAGGGACAAAATCTCTAGAGTTAAAACAGAAGAGAAGAAGAGAGCTTTTAGTGAAATACATCACGATCGTTCTAATTAATTCCATTAGCTTGTTTTCCCAGATAAATTTGTGTTGTTCATTCTCGAATTTGACTTCGACGCGCATTGAGTTAGACTCTTGAACCGTGTGAAGCCAAAAACAAACCCCTTGCTTACTACCTAAACAAAACCTTTTGCGTCTATCGAGGTCAATGATAAAAGACGCTCTATAAAAAGATTGATCTTTTTTTTCTTTTTTTGGTTCCTTTTAGTTCTTTTACGAGTTCCTTTGAGAATTGTGCTAGAAAACGTATTACATAAAAGGCAAAGATGCAACGAACTGACTATAAGATAAAAAACAAAGAAAATACTGTAGAATACTATGGACGAATAATATAAAGGATAATTTAGAAACAAAATATCTCGGCTGGATTAAACTCAAGGAGGAAAGCAAGAAGAAGAAGAAGAAAAAGTAAAATGAAAAGGAGAAAAATCGCCAATAGAGAAGTTGAAACATAAAAAAAAGAAATAAAAAGAAAAGCCAAACCGTTCTCGCTAAAGATTCGTAGTACTACGGCCCTTTGCGACATTCGTTTTACAAGGGAAAGAATTTTCGTTAGGTAAGGTAAAAGCAACACGGTTCTAACAGGATTGGTCGGTAACAACGGATAAACGAAATACGCTTTACTTATTTTCAAGGATTACCACGCGCTAGAATTTGGTGTTAGTAAGAAATGAAGAAAAGTTCTCGAAGAGAAAAGTTGAAGTGAGTCGTGAGAACGGTGAAAATCCCCCTTGACAGAATACGAACGAGCTAGAAGAGACCCGTTTTAATACCTACTGCACACAATACCCCCGCCCTATCTCAATTTGTTCCTTTATCAGTCAACATTTACCCTCGCTTGCCTTCCTCTCCTTATTCCACCCTTTTCATTTCAACCTCCTGCCCTCCCCCTCCCCCTCGTGTTTGCGATTAATTATGTCTTATTAAATGCTTAAGCCGTTACTAGCGATTCGCTTGAGATACTTCATTAAATATAAAAATATTCTCGTTGAGTTGTATGTTATTGAAAAAAAATGAACGCTAGAAATAAAGAAGAAGAATCAAAATATAATGATGTAAGAGAATTCTTCCTTGTAATCGCGATTCAAATAAAACAAATTCATCGTAGAGTTTTTATTTTCGCAAATGTATCGTCTTAAAAGATACTCGCGTTCTAAAACTTTACTTTCCTTAACTTTATTATCGGTGTAACAAGGGGAAAAAAAGTAAGAGAGAAACGTCGTGATTTGGCTTATCCCCGCGCCCTACTAGTTCTGTACTTAATCCTCGTAAGATATACGTGTGGCACATAGTAATTTACTTTATGAAGCTTTTCCTCCAACGCGGGGTCATCACTTTCTCCCTTTTATATCGACCTTTGTGCTTAACCCCACTCTCTTTTTTTTCTTTCTCTATTTATCTCTCCCTTTTTCTCCCTCTCTCTCTTTCTATCTCGGTAGTTCTCATAAGCCGTAATAACCAGGCCGACGCCGAAGAACGATGTCGACAATGATAAACGTCTTTACTTGCTACGCCTGCGAAAAGCAGAAGAAGACACCGTCGTGTTACCTACCGCTCGAGGACAGAGAAAACGCAAAGATATTGCACGACCTGCGGCACGAAAGACTAAAAGAGGAAGAACTAATGTGACGGTGATATAAAGTGACTTATGGAGCCAAACGGAAACTTTCGATTGCCTAAGGGAAAATTGCGGCGAACCGCCAAACACGTTCGTTCATTCTATACTATATTCCTTCTTTATATAAATATATATATATATATGTTATTGCATATATGTGCATTTATAGATCGAATACTCTTCTTCAATTTTTTCCTTCTTATGCTGCGCGGATAACATCGATAATAACGCTATTTCCAACTGACGGACCGCACGAACGGTCATCGAAATAGTTGGCAACAAACCCATCTCCTTTTTATTTTACATTGTTACATTTGTATTCATATAAATGCATCGCTATTCGGTGACCTGCCAAATCCAGAAAATTTAGATCGCTACCAAATCTGACTATTTTATTAGCATACTTCACAAATATACACATATGTGTGTGTGTGTGTGTGTGTGTGTGTGTGTGCCTACTATAATGTAATGCGCTTTTTTTATTCTCTCTCTCTCTCTCTTTTTTCCTCAAACACACCTACACATGCATACACATACGACCTTTTCGTCTCTATCTCTCGAAATCGAAATCTTTTATTATATATTTATAAAAAATGAAAAATCAATGAAATAGAAATGCATTCAGAAAATGTCTACATACGATGAAAGAAATATTAATATATTGATTATAAATAATAAAAACCCTCTTTTTCTTTCCTGAATGAATATATATATATATATATGTAACTTTTAAAAAATTCTATTTTTAAAACAGTACGATTATGTGTCTTGCAAATCATTTATCTATTCATGCATTTCCTTACATAATGGGTGTCCCAGTTTTATTCCGCAACATTTGATCGGCATATTATATAAGTAAAAATAAGAAAATAACGTTATATAAATGTGAATTTTTAAAAGCATCATTAAAAAATAATTATAACAAAAATAAGAAAAGGATGGTATTCCGTCGAACCCAACATAAGAAAAGCTATATTTATTTGAATATCTAACGATAATGTATTCAAACTTCATTTTTTATCTGAAAGATTAACTACACAGTCTTTTTTAGATTACCTACAAAATGATTTGCAATTAATATTGATAAAAGATATTTCCATTATTATTTATAAATTCAATTAAATGATTTTTTTCCTGTAAGGCAATGATTAAATAAATATTACCCTCAATAATGGATAAGTCAAAAAAGAACCAATTCCATTTGTCCCTAAGATCATTATATATTACGTCAATGTATTTTTACTTGTGAAAAAGAAAAAGAAAAAGTTTATCAGACACAAATTAATAAGCGTCTAGAATGAATGCAAAAAAAAAATCGTGACGTACTTACTGCAATTATGGAATATGAAGAAGAAATAAGTAACGCAATAAATTCTATTCATCGTGGATGTCAGTCTTGCATTCATAACGACAGACAATATTTTGAAATAGAATTATTCTTAAGTAGTATCGAACAAAAAAATAGTCCGTTTCCATTTCGCATTTATATTATAATTTTTTGTATAAATTATCTTAAAATACTCGTATAACATTATATATTTTTTTTCTTATATTTATTTATAAAATACATATGTTAATAAAATTGTGCGCAAAAAATATATTAAAACGTTCGGTATATTTCTTCTTTGACATATAATAAAATGTATAATAAAAAATAAAAATATAAATCATCTCTTTCTTATCTACTAATTAGATATTTTATATGCTTCATTTGCAATTTATAAGAGAAAAAAAATAAAAAAATGTATGTAAGTTGAGATAACTCGTAATTTTTCCACTTATGTGACAACTTGACCTAACGAAGAAGAACACGCCTATTTAATTGTACCTACTTAGTTAGCAATTCTAAACGAACAGATGAATATCAACGAGTTTATATATGTTGATCGAATAAAATTGTATCTTGAACGATATATTAGACTTTTACTAGTGTATTTCTAATTTATTAACCACACTATATTATCTATTGTTTTATACGATTCTCAATGATGTATTAAAAAGATAATCTTTATGATTGGTTCACCTACATTTTTTTCAACATATAAGAAGAAGAAAAAGATCGTGGAATTGGTCATAAAAATATTAAAGGGAAATAAAATAAAAAAGAAAATTAACAATGATAAATCGTTTCATTTGTATTGAAATATTTTCAAGAAAAAAAAAGGTCGATCTTAATCAAATGATGTGTGAAAACTTACATTAATTAAGAATAAAAACTTTCTCTAAATCGAACGAATGAATCGAAGTCCACGATCGAGTAAAAACGACCAAGGTCGTACTAACGATCGACTAGTTGATAAAAAATAGAATAAAAAACGAAAACTAGTCGATTGCTGACATAACGAAAGATGCAAACTGGATGATTGTTTCTTTCATTGTAATAGCTTTATGAATATTTTTTAGGTACATATACATATACTTATATACATGTATTTAAGTGTATAAGCGTGCAAAGGTTGAATCATTTGCATTTTTTTTCCTTGACTTTGAAATTATACGATTAAAATGTAATACTTCATTTAATATATACAAATGGTTTTCAACAAATAAAAGATTAATGACTTTATTATCATTTCCGGATATTTTTAAATCATTAACAAAAAATGTCACATTATCGTTGAGTACCATGATAAAGGGGATGACACGAATATATGATTGTCGCAAATATCTAAACCAGTGTTTAGGACAAAAATAGTGTGAAGCATGAGGAAATAATACTAGCACTTTTTATTTAACAAGAAATAACATTGGTCACTTCAATCGTGATCCTCTCATTGATCCTTGACACTTCGACGTATGAAAAAAAACGTAACTCTACAAGCGAATAGAATTAATAAATCATTTAGTAATACATCGTTGAAGAGAATAATAACATGAGATCATAATTCATTTATCGACGAAGTTACTCGTGCGCGTTACAGAGACAAAAAGGAAAAAAAGAAAAAATAAAGATAAAAAGAAGGAACATGATGACTTCGCATTTGAGAAATCGGTGTCCATGCGACGACACATCGTGCGGTGTTTTCGTTAAAAGTTCTCGAGACTTTTTGGAATGACTCGCAAAACTTGTTCGAAAAGTAGATACGATATACTAGTTTTTGGTTTGGTTTAGATTTTTTGCTTTCTTTTAGATGTGGACAACTTTTTTAAAAGTGGACTGCAAAAGATGCACCGACCAGTTCGTAAAAAATATTTATAAATTCCAAAGTGAGAACTAGTGATTCCCTCTTTCCTTTCATTTTAAGAAAAGAAGATTTCACAAATTCTTGGATATATATATTGTATTTATATATGTATTATACCAATAAAGTTATATCTACTTAGAACGGAAGTTGATATAAATATTCAATTAGCAAAGTCTTCGGTCGCACTTTTGTTCACGTGTTATTCGTAGGTTCGCGATCGTGGTGAAAACTTATTCGAAATAGTGCGGTTGTTTGTCGAGAAAAAAAAATCGATTTGAAATATTATCCTGTGTCCAAAGAAAAAAAATAAAACAATGAAACAAAATGAACGAGACAACGAATTCGTCTTTTACAACTGTTAATAAAGAAGAAGAAGAAGATACCAGAGACGAGTACCTAGCTAAATGGGAAATAGTGCTATTAGCGAATATATTAATTTTCACCATCTTTGGAAATAGTTTGGTATTGTTGTCCTTATATTTAAGAAGATATCGTGCCCATAAAAAACTCAGTAGGATGTATTTCTTTATTATGAATCTTAGTATAGCAGATTTGTTGACAGGTCTGCTCGACGTTCTACCACAGCTCGCTTGGGATATAACATTTAGGTATGTTAATCTTTGATATTATTTGGATCACGTTAGATTCTATTCTACATCATCTAAATGATGAAATTAATAATGATGATAATAGAGGAGGATATAAAAAAATGAAATAGATTTCAGGGTGGGCTGGTGCTCTGCAAGTTAGTGAAATTCTTTCAACCATTCGGCCTTTATTTGAGCTCTTACATTTTGACAGCAACGGCGATCGATAGATATCACGCAATTTGTCATCCTCTCAGTTATTGCAGCGTAACATCGAGAAAATCTAGAATAATGGTTTATTGCGCTTGGTCCCTCGCATTGATTCTCTGCATACCTCAAGTAAATATGTTTAAATTACGATTGAAAAGGAATTCGTCTATTTTTTTTCTTTTTTTTTTTTTACTATTATCTACCATACCTTAACAAATATGAAAAAGAACAGAATTTATCGAACATCGTATACATACCTATAACCGTTATATTAAATTCCAGTTATTCGTGTTTTCGTATCAAGAAGTAATGCCAAAAATTTGGGACTGCTGGGCAACTTTTGACATTAAGTTTGGTGAAAGAGCGTACGTCACGTGGTAAGCGATATTCCGTTTGCTTTTATCTTTCTTACCTTTCCGTACTTCCCTTATTTCTTCCTTCCTTCACTTCTTTATTTCTTTCTTTCTTTCTTTCACCTTCTATTATCATTTCCCTCGAATCAAGATTTACTTTGCTTCTCATTATTACAAGAGAACGTAAACGCGGAAGAAACTTCAGAGTTCATTCTTAACATAGGTACAGTCTAATGGTCTTTCTCTTACCATTCATCGTTCTCGTATATACCTACGTTGGAATCTGTGTTGGTGTGTGGCGAAGTAATAAAATGTCCGGTACCATGGACGATAAAGCGTACATTAGAAGTATCAGCAATTATTCTCGTAATCGAAGTACATTCATTTCTAAGGCAATGATCAATACCGTTAAGCAAACTATAGCTGTAATCACTCTCTATGCTCTAACAAGTATTCCGTTTATTGGATGCGAACTTTGGATGACCTGGGATACCGAAGCTTCCAAAACATCTTTCGCAAATGGTAAATAAAATTTCTCTTATACGAATCTTAAGAAAAATGTTTTATCGTTAATTATTTAAAGATTTTTTGTTTCATTTTTTTCAGGTCCCGCGTTCACGATCCTAGCCCTTTTAAACAGTTTAACCAGCTGCGTTAATCCATGGATATATTTATCATTTAATCGAGAACTACGTCAGACGCTAATGAATTATTTCTGCAATCGTAATGAGCATTCGCAGAAATATTACGGTATAAAAATTCTTCGAAGCCCTTATCGCGCTTGCACAACCGAACGATAATGTTTTCGCAAAAATATAAAACCCAATATTTACAGGTCAGAGAATGATGCGTCGCAGTGACTCGAACGACACGTCGACGAGGATATCGCTGATGTCCAGGATATCGCGATATACTAGTTCAATAATTCCACGTTAACGAAGAGGACTCAACGATATGTATGAGTCAAATAAAATCAAAATGCACATTCTCTCGTCTCTTTTTGACGATAGGAACAATTGTGTCGTTGGAGAAGATATTAATTAGCTTTTTATCATGATCGATACGTTAAGGAAATATTTTTCTTTTTTAATTTTTATACCACTCCGTGTATAAATGCAACTCTAGCAAATAGGTCCTTCATTTACAATTTTTGTACTTTTTATATAAATATCCATTACACATATGCATTACGCTTGAAAGCTCATAAAAATTCAAAACCGATGTATAATAATATTATATATTATATATACGTAAGTGTGTATTTGCGTTTAAATAAGAATTTATATATTCACAGTATATATATTATTATAGGTACATGATGTACATGCTTGTTTTGCGTAGTAAAATGATGCGAAAAAGATTCGATTTGAAGCGTGCTCACGTTGAAGCATTTTTGAGAACGTTTTCAACTCCGTAATTTCCATCGTTTCCTCTTTTCAACGAACGACATTCTTACCGAACTGTTATACTTACACGGTTCTGCCTCATTAGTATTTCTATCGAACGAGCGTCTATTATGTTTCGATGTTTGTATTCCCCATGTTTATACCGATCATCTCAGGGATTCTCACGGCGATGATAATGTCCCACACCAGGAGCGTACACTGACATCAAATCATTATTTTTCTCGTATATTTTTCGTTAAACATGAAAAAGAGTAGGAGAAGAAATGTCCCCTTAAAAATATCTTAATTAACCTAATTGCCATTATCTCGATCTTTTTATCTATGAATATATTATTCGAAATGTGATACTGGACTCATTTTAAATAATGTTAAAAATAAGAAAATAAGAAAAAGTAAAAAAAATGGAAACACAACAATGTTGATACTTTCCTGGTAAAGTAAACAATGCACTCGGCACGTCGAAAGAACTCAATACAGCAATGAATGAGAACCCCTTTACGGAACACCTGAATACTTAATAAACGGATAAAATTAACATTAATAACGACTGTCTGTGCCCGATCCACATTTTATCCGAGGACAAACGAGAACGACGATCGTCCAAGATATATTCCATACGAGGGCGTCATTTGAGGTGGACTAACTCTCTCTCTAGTTTTTCATTCTTCGTTGGGGTGCAGCAGTGAAAATTCGAAAGACCTTCTTCATACGAAACAGTTGGCCCACGACGTCTGATTTCATCTGGAATGGAACAGAATCCGGAAAGATATCCGAACGAATTATCGAGAAACGAGGTACTATCATTTACGACTTCACTTGCGATCGAAACTATGCTTTTATATCGGTCAAGAGGCAATAGAAAAAGTACAAAAGGAAAGATGAGACAAATAGATAGATAGTTAGTTAGATAGACAGATAGATTTACATAGAGAAGAAGAAAAGGGGGAATATATTTCTTTTTCAGTCCGAAAATGAGAGCAACGACGAGGATTACGCGCGTTCACCTATTTTACTCGATCTAGATGAAAATTCAAAGCAACAAGAGCTACGAGAATTGGAACATGAACGAGATCGCGAACGACAACGGCAGGACGTCGTCAACCAGCAAGAAATGATTTTACCGAATGTACTATCGACAGCCGATCAACACCTACAGGATCAATTATCGCAAAGTGCATCAGGTACCTTTCGAGTGATTCAACGTATTGCTCGTCGTGGTATATTCGACGGATCTTGGTAATCAACGAAATGGAAGAAAACGGTTGGTTTAGCGAACGAACGATCGATGCTCCTCTTCTATTCGCTTCTTCGCAATTAACTTAAAAGAATCAAATGTGCCTTATTTCGTAAAGAGATTATCGCACTCTTCGGGATTATCGTTTAGAAAAATAACCCTCTGGGAGAAGAAAGAAAGAAAGAAAAAGAAAAGTCAAATAAAATTCTCAACGTCTCGGCGCTTTCAAAGCGAAGAAGCGAATTAAGGTCCCTCGAATGTCCTCGTCGAATTCGATTCTCGATTTAAAGCTATCGGTAATAGCGTCATTAGATTATTTTTCCTACAGACGATCCTACCGTGATTCGACGTCAATCCTTGAGAAGAAGGTGGCAAGGTCCTAGTAATATCGACGAACGTCAACAGAACTCAGACAATGTGTTAATTATAAGAGTACCGGAACCAGAAATAATAGGTGGCCATCCGCAATTGGAGATACTTCACGAAACGAATATCAGATCGATACAACGTGAACCCTCGCAAACTGAAAAAGGTGAAAATTCTATCGAAATTAGTGGCATCGATATCACGGATGAAACTTTTATAATTGTCGTGATAATAATTATTTCATTGGTGCATTTATTTTTAAATATAAGTTTATTCGAAATCTCGCGAAATAAATTCAACAAAGAGGACTGCTCAACCGTGGCGAATCGAGTTTCTCGTCGTATATTTTAGAAGAAAAAGTATTTTCGGCGGGTAATCTAGCTTGTAATTCTCGCTGCAATAACATTACCCGCAGATTCTTATCACGCGTACGTTGAATTTGTCTTACGAACGTAGAAACGATCTCTTCCCGCGATTTCTCCTCAACGATAGGGTTATCTTCTTTGCGATAAACAAGATACGATCTTGATGTCGTAACATCGATTTCTGCTTTTTCTTCTTCTTCTTCTTCCATGGCATCTTTCTTTTTACTTTTACCCATTATTTGAGAAAATAAATTTATAATCAATTGTGTTATCCAACTGTTCCTCCATCTACTCGAATGCCGTTTGTTTTCGCGATTTATACGTCGATCGTTCATTTTCTCTCTCCTGAACCTATGATTTTCGATCAAATCTATTTCTTTTTCATTTTCTGTCCTGTCAACAGCAACTTCTATGTCAGAACGCTCTACCTTCGTTATAATAATCGATTCTGATGATATTCGTTGAAAATTTTCATCAGTTTCTACAAAAACTTCCCGAAAAAATCCTTTCGAAAGTTCTTCGTTAGACGCATATAAACCGCCATCGTCGTGATTGACCAAAGCCATTTCAATAGATTTTTCCATCAAATTAATTTTTCTCCCTTGATTCTTCGTCCTCAAATTAAAATTAACAGAAAAGTCCTCGTTATCGATAAAATACCTCGTTTTATCACTCGACGTATTTTCCAAGAGAAACATCACGGTCATTTTTTCACGAGTATGAGGCAATGGATTTTTAAAATACTGTACATCATTTAATCTCGTCCCTAACGAGCATAACGAACGGAAATATAACAAATTATTAAGCAAAAGGACTACAAAAGATATTCACTAACCTTTTCGACTCGACTTCATTTTTAATGAAATTTTGTAAGTAATTTTAAATGAAATTTCAAGATGAAGTTTCAAAATGAAGTTTCTATAGTTCTATTCCATTCAACGTGGTTTATACTTCATACCTTCGTATTATTTACAAAGTTAATGCTACATTCTACGAAATTACAAATTTATTCGACTCAAGTATTTAAGGCATCGTTAATTTTGGATTTTTTTATCATTTATTTTTCACCAAATTCGCTATTCTTTCTCGCCAATGTCATCCATCTTAAAGATTAATGATAAAACAAAAAATATATATATATATATATATATATATATTAATGAATGATCTATAAACGATATATCGAATATGCAATCGAATTTATTGCTATAAATAAAATAGGAAAAGTTAACGATATGTGAAATACAATTTAATAAAACTAAACTAAAATGATTAATGTGAAACAGAGAATTTACCCGCCGATCGATCAATGCGTACGCAGCAGATTCTATATCCAATTTGTTTTCATTTCAGACTACAAAAAGTCAGCATGCGATCGCGAACGAACGAGAATGAGAGACATGAATCGTGCTTTTGAACTTCTCAGATCAAAGCTTCCGATATGCAAACCTCCAGGAAAAAAATTATCAAAAATTGAATCACTTAGGCATGCTATAACATATATCAGACATTTGCAAAGTTTATTGGAGCCTCAGTATAATTACGTTCCAAATGTATCAGAAAGAACAACGTATTACGGGAATCCTACTGGTGCAATACCCTTCGAAATACATCATCCCAATCGATGGGAATCTTTTAGCTACTATCGTTACGATTATCATACTCCTTACGCCACTCCCTCTCCTCCCAGTTTGACATCATCCTTGCATCCACGATTATCCTGTGATCCAGAGGAACGATCGTTCTCATATGACTCACGACATTGATATATTCAAATAAGAAATATATATATATATATATAATATGTATTTTATTATAATTATATTAAATTGTATTTAAGTTACAATAAAGAAATTAAGTTTTCATATTTCCTTTATTGCTATAACATTTTTATCTATATCTATATACCTATAAACCTATATACATGTGAAATAAATTAAAATATCAAGATTCTCTTATTGTATAAAATCTAAAAAATCTTACGCGCGCGATACTTATGAAATAATTATATTCTGTAATAAAATTAACTATCGTCCAAATTTAAACGGTTAAATAATAATATTATATCTCGTTTGTTGAGCTGTATTTGGCGGAACAGTTGTAGGGTGTATATGAAGAGGTAAATCCCAAATCATCGTTTCAACATCCAACGTCGGAGGCCCATGCCAACTGACCGTGTTTTCAAAAGGCATTTCAACTAATTTCGAGGTAGTTACAAATTCGAAATGTAATCTCCACCTTAAGGTAACCAGTTCTGTCGTAAAATCTGGTGTTACGTGTAACGGTATAGGTAATACCAAATGAGAATATTTCAAACCCAAACACATTTCATGATGTTTGTTATAACTAACTAAAGTTGGTGTTGTAGACTTTCCTCGTCTGTATTCCTCCGCGACATGTTCCTCAGATTGTAAAGCTACGGACACTTGCGCACATGATACAGTAGCATTGGAAAAATCGAATGTACCAACAATATCCTCCCCTAATTTATAAGAATTTTTGAAAAGACAAAATCTAACTACACGCCCACGTCCATTGGTTATATTATAAAAATTTGGACTTCTCCTTGCAGTTAGATTCTAGAAGAATTTGTTTAAATATTTTGATATTATAATATAATTTTGAATATTTTCCTATTAATTTTAAGTTAACTAACCTGAAGAGTTTGAAGCGCTATGTCTAATGGAGTTTCTCTATGCTGTGTTTCCATAAAAGGATTATTGGGACTTAAATCCACGCTATCATTGCATGTCGTTATTTCTGACAACTCTATAAATAAAATAATTTATATAAAAAATAAATAATATACGATTTTTCTTATACATACATAGACATTACAAAAACAGATGTAGGATATATATATGATATAAAATAAAAATAGTTACCGCTTAAAGATAATACTCTAAATGGTACGCGTAGAAGTTTAATAGCTGTGTTCACTCGTTGGGTTCCAATTGTGATTTTATAAGAATATTTTACTGCCTGACCTCTATATGAAGGAGGAGCATCGCTTGGAATTGTTTCTCTATAAACATCTATAAATGAAATAATATATATATTTATATAATTTATCTCATATCATATAATAAATTTAATTATACATATTTATCATGCTATAGTAACAACTTACATGTTTTACTCTCACCAGGCGATAATCTTAAATCGCAGAACAAAATTTTGGGCTTCGTATTTAATATAGCATGACCGTTATCTTGTTGCCATGGTACAAAAGTTGTATCTGTAAAAATCCAAGTATTAATAATCATTCAAGCCTTACTACAATCAACAAATTATATTGTGATAATAATCTTGTATTCTTACTCGCATTTATAGCTGCCAATCTAGCAGTCGTATTTAACCTATCTGAAAGTACCACTTTACTGTTCATAGAACATTGACAATGAATTTGAGCACTGGCCCAAGCAAGACTTTCAAAAATATCACTGTAATCAAATAAATGAACATTATCCTCTTTTATATAAGACTATACGACATAAGCGATAATACCTGTGACTTTGTGATATTTGATGATTTGGATTGGGAGGATTACTAAATGTAACATAACATTCAATGACTTCTCCAGAAAAATATACAGATCCTCTAACGAGTTTAGCAGTAACTTCAATCATGGTTTTCAATGTTTCAATTTACTTAACCTTGCTTATAGAAACCTTTCTTATAACCTCAAAAAAGAGATTATGTTTTATTCATAAAAGAGTAAAACTGTAATAAAAAAAAGAAATTAAAAATATTATATGAAAATAATATAAGAAAAAAGAATATTATTAAACGTTTTAATATTAAAACCAATAAACATTTATTAATGAAACAAAAGTAAAAATATAATGACACATATTCGTACCTACATCATCTGTTACTAATAAAATATAACAGTTTTATACACAACAATGCATTTATCAAATTTGACATTGCTAAGTCTTCTTAATAAGTTAAATAATCTATAAGAGTAAGTAAAATTTATTATGGATTACAGTTTTTACATTTTCAAAATATACAATGATGACGTGCTAACCGAATAGGTGCGATTGTTACCAGTGTTACCACTACTTAAAAAAATAAAAATACTGAGAACAAAATTGTCAGTGATTTTGTGAATATTAATTCGAAATACCATCTGTTTATATTAAAAATAAATAGACGTATATTTTATTGGAAGTATTTTTTCTATCTATTAAATATATATATATACATAATGTCATATAAAAACATTATTTAATATGAAACATGCTTTTGCATATTAATTAATTTCATTAACGCATTGTAAGTTTGGTTATATAATAAAAATATTTTGTAAAAGATTTGTTTATAAGATTATCAAAATGTTATCTCAAAATTCAAAACCTATATTATATAAAAATACTGAAATTTCAGTAGATGAGTTAGTATCAAATTGTATATATAATATTATTTCTAATAAAACTAAAAGAAAATAATTATTATCTATAAAATTATAAGGAAATATAGACCTTGGCTTCCAACTCCATTACCATTGTTCAATTTAACTGGAAATATTGTTGATAATTTTCCTTTACCTTATTGCTGGCATTGGGATACTAATGATGTTATTAATTGGCTGCAAAAAACAATTTGTTTACCTCAATACACGGTTAGAAATATAATAAACATTTTTTAAAAATTAATATTCTAATACTATTTTGATTACTTGACGTAGGAATGTTTCACTAAAAATTTTATCAATGGAAGACAGTTATTGCTAATTGATGCCTCCAAATGTGTAAAAATTGGAATCCAGAACTTTGCGCACATAAAAGTTGATACATTCTTATTATTTATATTTGTTCACTTTATTTATAACCAGGGTGACCTGTAATTAGCGATGCATGCAATGAGATGGTGATTCTGCCTAAAAGACAAAATAAAAAATGTAGAATAAAATTTGTTCATACAGAGTTCTCAATGGTTTTGAGAAAAGTACATTTCCAAATTTGTCGAGTTCGTGTACATTTTGTAATAAATTTTATTCGACATTTTAGACTTATTGTTAGTTTCTCATTTAGAATCATCTCCTGCTCGCTTGTATCACTAAATACAGGACACCCAATATATAAATGCTTCTTAAAAATGGACATATCTATCTCTACAGCTTATTACGAATGGAATTAGAAAATTATATAATATTGAACAAGAAACATTTAATAGGAGTATTAGCCTTCCTCCGCGTTATCCATGGACACATTATTTGCTATATAAAAGTCCCACTGGGCCAATTCGTGAAAAGACAAAATCTACAGAACTTTTTCAAAAAATGGGAATACTTCATTTTAAAATTGGTTGTCCCATAGATCATTGGAGAATGATGTTATGTAAATGGCCAGATTTTTCTGATTATTTGTTTGGTCTCACTAATCGTAAGAATGTATATATTAAAAAAGAGCAAGTAAGACAACCACGAGGTTTCTCCTATTACAAAAATGTACAACATTATCCAAGTTATTTTATAAAACAAAGTATAAATAAATAGAATAGACACTTTTAGTATTAATCATTGTAATGTAAAATTATTTTTGGAGTAATACATTTTTTACAAAGCATATAAGTCGTATAGTAATTCATAACATTTGACTCACAATTTTTATTTATTTCTTTTTTTATTACTCTTTCATGTACCCACTGCATATAAGCATATCCACACATATTGGATAAATAAAAACAATGGAGAAAACAATGATAAACAATTTTTCATACGATTTGCTATATTTATATATATATTATCTTGTATATGTATATATCTTGCTTGATTCATGATTTAAAAAAATACATTTTTCTCGATAAAATTTTATAACTATACAAATTTTCAATTTGTAAATTATATTAATTTATTATTAATTTAGTCAATATTATTTCCTAAATAGAAGATATTAAATAAATTGCACATTACTTTTAAATAAATTAGGAATTGTATAATGTACTATATACATATACAACTCATTAAAAATATTTATTAAGAAAATAATTCTTCTTCCGATTCTTCTTTAAAGTCTATATTGCTTAAAATCAATTTATTTGTATTTGTCTCTGGCATTCTTAACACAAGTTCGCATTCACTTTCATTGCTTGATGCTGATGTATTAAGCACAGAGTTAGTTTTCTTATTTGTAGTGTTTTCAGAATAATTTTGCTTCTCAATCGCTGTGCTAGTCGTTGCTTCCAGTTCATTTACAAAATCCTTATCAGTTAATTTACTTCTTTTGCGAGTAGTATAAAAAGAATCTTGATTTTCATTATCCGAATCTTCACTTTGATCTGTACGTTTATTAGATACTGCTTCTTTCAATTTTGATTTAACATTTTTTGCACTCTTACTGTCCATATCTGAGTCTTCACTCTGATCTGTGCTTGTGTCATATACTGACTTTTGCGTACGTTTTGCATTTTTTAAACTATTTTCTAATTCCCTGATCTTTTTCTTTTTAGCATTTAAAATTAATATAAACTTTTTGTACAGTTCCTTTTCCATGTCAATTTTTATTTTTGTCATTTTCTCTAAGTTAACGAATAATTCATTTTTGGTATTAGTCAATAAATCATTTTCGATTCTTAATTTTGAAATAATTTCTTGTAATTGTTGTTGCTGTTCTAATATACCGTATAAAGTTTCAGATATATCAATAATATTTGAAATTGGACATACTGTAATCTTTCCTAAAATCCATCTATTATTCTTCCTCCATTCAAATTTATTATCTTGAAGGAAGTATTGTATTTCTGTATTTTTACCAGAAAAAGCATCTTTGGTTTCTTTCAAATATTCGTTAAATGATTTCGAATGTTGTTCCGAATAAAAATTGATATCATTTGTAAGCATCTGAAACACACACAATTAGGTTTTATTATATAATATTAAAATAATAATTATAGAAAATTAAATTTACCTCTCCCATTAATGGAGCAGCAGATGGTTGAAGTAAAATGATCTTAAAACATGTATTCGTCCATTCAGTATATAAAATATATTGTGTCCCATCAATTTTATTTGATATTTGGGTAATCGTTATATTTAACATTCTAAATAATATCTATTTTAAATGTAAATAAACTCTAAACCAAGATTAAATTACTTATGTTTGGTATTTAAAAAGTGAAATGTCATCTGTCATTTAAAGATTTATATGTATTGTTATCTACATATCAAATAGAAAGATAACCTATTCAAATGCTCCATTACATTGTACTCTGATTTTAAAGATTAGATTTCATTTAAATATCACCATATAAATATAGATTCATTTTTATTTACAGAACAAAATTTTAGTATTAAATATTAAAATTAGTAATAATTAATATTGTATTTGTTTTACACATTTGTAAAGTTGTTCTGTCACAATATCACAAGTTTAACCTAAACATAACCTAAAAGAATGACATTTTATTTACATACCTTTTCTTACTGATCATTGGTAATAGTAGGATACATTATTATCGATTGTCGGTGTTGATAATCAGTAAATTTATTAGTCAATATTAATTAAAATTTTTCATTAGTAATTAATATTTATTAATTATAAAATGTAATGGAAAACTCTAATTATGGAAGATATTTAGTGATTTACATAATTGTAACAAGCTTCACCTATTTTTCGTAGTTATTAGAAAGAACGTCAGGAAAAAGATAAATGCTTTAAGGTTTATTAAGTAATTACAATTATATTTTAAATGCTAGTGTGTTATTTTTTGTATATCTTTAGATGAAATTTACGATTACGGCGAAATCTAAATTTTATGATGCGAACAAATTATCTCATTTCATTATCTACCTGTAGTTATAATTAAAAAATTGTATTCTTATAATGAAGATATCTGAAATTATCATAAAATCATTGAAAAACGTTATTACTTTGATTAAATTTAACATGGAATAATTTTGGAAATATTGCATACATAAAAAATTACAGGTCACTGAAATATCGTCCGAGCAATTCGTACAAAATATTACTCTCAATTACCGGAAATTCATTCCTGGTGCGAGTTCGAATAATTCGATACTAGATAACATTTCAAGTATCGATAATCGATCGAAAATGGGGAACTTAAATTTAAAAATTACAACATTACGATCTATAAATTAGATTTATATAATGATTTATAAATTAAATGAAATAACTTATCAAACTATCGTATCACTCTTTAAATAATAAAAAACTAATTATCTTTTAATTAACTATATAAATAAACAGTATTAAATAAATATAATTAATTGTAATGACGGAAGATTGGAAAAATGCAGAATATCGAGGAAAATTTGATCGATACTTGAAATCTGTTATCCGTGTGATTTTTTTTTAGATCAATGCCACTTCTAACCATAAAGATCTTTTTGTCTCGACATTTTAATTAAAAAAAAAAATGACATAGAAACAATTTTCTATATCATTGAAAAATAACTTATAATTTTGTCTCCTATAATTACAACTTTCTATATGATGCAACGCCTGCGTATTTAGTTCCGCATCTAAATCGATGTTACATTACGTTAAACATTACTTATTAAGCCTCATGATAATATTTTTGACCTCCTTAAGATAGAATGTAATAGAAGTATAATCCTATTGAATTACCATACGATATAACAAATCAAGAAGAATTATACTTCAAGAAATAGATATTTACTATCTGAGAAAATGAAGTGGGAAAGCTGTTGTGTATCGTTCTATTTTATATGCAAATGTATTAATAAAAACAAATTAATATTCATAAAGAATAAAATTAAGAAATGTTTCTCTTCCGTTTTAAGTTATTTTTATTTTAATACGTTTTAAATTTCGAAAGAAATAATAAAAAAAGTTGACTAACGTGTTTTCATCAATATGTTTGCTTCTGAGCAATCGTTGGCTTATCGAATAGACCGCACAAACGGATAATGAAATCTGATAACCTTTCGCCACAATTTATCATATAAAATTCATTTGTATAATATCAATGATAAATATTTATTTCTACTACCTTGTCAAAGAATTCAAAATGATCTTTTCTATGCAACGTGTAAAAAGAAGAAAAAAGAAAAGAAAAAGAAAAGAATGAAAAAATTAGTAAAGATAAAAGAAAAAGAGGCTAATACTTTTGCAATGATATCGATACTTCTACCTTTCAATTTTTTGCTCTTATTCATTATGGAAACAATTATTATACTCCAGTTGGTGGTGGTCACCATTAGTTCAAACTTTCAAAAAGTTATATCTCCGTTGACCTCGAGTTTTTCCATAAACATAGTTTTTCGACCAAAAAAATTATGATAATAAAAAAAAAATCAGTAGAATACCGAGGACTTTTTTCCCCCACCTAAAACATCATTTCATCTTATAACCCTATAACCATAATATATGGAAGGCACACATGTTTAACTCGATCTGTAACATAGTATAACAGTCGCTGTTTCAATCTTGTTCTATTCGTCGTTCTGTTATTTCGATAGTTCGTAGTCGACTATTCCGCGAATTAGAAAATTTTTTCTTTTAGAAAAAGAAAACAAATACACTGCTACAATCTAAAGTAATTTATTTTTAAATTATTAATTATTTATTAATTGTTGAAAAAAGGAAACAAAAGAAATATTTAACGGAACGTTTGTAATTTAACTTATAATACATCGAAAACGAATTTTGTTCGAATGAACAGAAATATTAAAAAAATGGAATGTAATCTTACTAATGGTGTAAAAAAAAGGGTAAGTTTTAATTCGTTACCTGCATATACATATCAAATCTAATTTTCGATATCATATTTCGATTTTATGTTAAACTTATTTACGATATTATTCTATGCTTACTGACAAAAGCTCATATTTTTCGTTTATTGCATTCATTTTCGTTTTGAATATACTTCTCTGTTATAATAAGATAATGAATTTAATTAATTCACAGAATTAGCATACTCATGGTCATACACAAATCATACTCTGTACACGCAGTACTCTTGTAAAAGCGTATTGTAACTGGTACGTGTTTCATTGTTGTTGTTTTTTTTTTATAAGTTTTTATTTTAACTATCTCTATACTATAAAGCATATAAGATTAGATATACAACTTATCGTTAGAGTATTTAATTTTTAATAATATCATACAATTAGGTTTCGTAAATTGGATACATAACGAGAAATAACATGACAAGCGTTGCGTAATTTTAAGATATATTTACAATTACTTAATTTCTCAAAAGTCCCCTAAATAATCTTATTGTTCCGCGTTTGAAAAAATTATCATTTGTATTCATATTATCACCGTCGACGTATGTTCTTCCCCCAACAAAAAATAAAGCGAAGATAATTCCCATAAATTAAAATTATTTCGTACTAAATAATTCTCTAATGATGTAAATTCAAATTACAATCACAAAGTTTATAAACTTTATATTATTTTATTTTTATATTTTAATCATATTTATTTTTGATTATTCAGCATTTATATTTTTTGTGTTTTCAAATTTCTTAAAAAAAAAAAAAATAATTTTGTAAAACCTTTTAACTATTTTATAAATAGAAATAATTGTCCTACTTTAGATTAGAAATTTACAAGCATAAACACGGCTAATTAGTAGGGTAATAAGACTACAACTATTACCAACAAGCATTCAAATAGTTTTTCCTTGAAATCAATAGTAAAATATTTTTGACGAAGTCGTATAATAAAATAAACCTGTATTGTTACAATTATAATTCGAGGTAACGCATGGTTTGTCAGATATTTAACTTATTATTTCTCAAATTATTTTTAGAATTAATATAACGTTTTAATCAACTTTAAAAATGGCAGATGAAACTAATATTCAGAATTTAATCCATTTATTATATAATTGTACTGATTAAAAATAATTTATCTCTTCATAACATTTAAAAATTTATAATACATATTTTAAAAAATTATCATTGAACATATTTAATGGAAATTTTTATTTAATTAACAGGATTATTAAATTTTAATTAATATAATTTATGTTAAATGACAATATTCTGGTGCCACTCACATTTTTCATCTAAAAAAAATATTTCTAATTGCTCACAATTTTAATTAATTTAAATAAATATAAACGTATAATAAATGTTGCAAAATATAATTTAATTGTTTATGATTACGTTGTATAAAAATTATGTGATAAAATATGTATTTTTTATTTTATTTAATTGATTAAAGTTCTGAGAATTTATCATTTTGGAGGTCAATGATATCTGATGAGAACTGGTTCCTCTGTTGTTGGTATTACTAACGATGAAAGTCACTTTCTTTTAACTTTCTCGCGAGCATGCCACCAGTCTTATTCTACGCTTAACACGGAATGCAATTCGTAAGCAATTTATACGAGTAATCGTCGTATTTTTGCCAGTTAGTTTTATTATTTCGAAGAGTGACTAGTAAGTGTAGTTATGTAAAAACAATACGAAAATATATTTTGTAAAATAGCATAAAAAGTTTGGCAAGGAAGGAATTGTTTAATCAAATATTTGGTCGAGTCATAAATAACTTCCATTTTTTATGAAACAAAGAATGGTGTTTCTGCGACTGATAAGTGCAAGACTCTTTTCATAGAGTTTTTTTTTGCACTCTTTGCTATTGTTGAACGTATCTATTGGATTTTGCTCCAATATTACCTTTAAAAGGTTCATTAAAGTCGGAAATACGTCCTGCACTCGGTTCATCGTTTAAGATCGTATCTCCTGAACGGAATTTTACAAACCAATTTCTGACTACCCTATCAGTTATCAGTCCTGTACTTTATACGCTGCATATTTTTTCAGTTGTCACCTTAGTGCTATTGCCTTGTTTCAATTCCTAAAGCATTACATGTCGAATATGCACTTTTTACTATCCATTTCAGTGGTTAAGAAAAACGGTTAAATGTAACATTGACTACATACAAAATTTGACAGAAGACTAACTGAATCATCATCTATATAGTGATATTGAAAATCCGTTTGTTTCGGTGACTTATTGTAGGTAAATACGAAAAATAGATTTTACATAGCCGCATCGGAAGTTACTTATGACTCGACCTAATAGTTTGAAATATTTCTTATTGTTCAAACTGCATCTGCAATTAGTGACACAACAATTATACTATTTCAATATAATGAGTGCAATACAAAAAGAAACTATTTCTAATCGTTTATTTTTATTTGAAATAATTATGTGATGTTTATGTTATATAACTAGTAATCAAACTTATCAAGTTTAATTGAATAATATTAAAGAATAAAAGATTAATCAATAACAAAAACTTATCATACGCGAGATAATCAATAATCAATTGAACTTTAATATTTGTTTACCAATAAAACAAAAATACGTTATATAAACTCAGAATTAATCATTCTAACGATAATATCTATACATCAATATCATATTTTAAACCTTTATTTCCGCCAAAGAATTGAGTAATATTTCGATAAGAATTCTGTTTATCGAATATGGGATTCCTTCGACAAAAAACGGAAAATCAAAATTCTACAAGACAGGTAATAAATTAACTATTCAGAAATTATTAAAAATTATACATATGTCGGAATAATTACAAAATTTATAAGCATTAGAAGGACATGCATAACTTGTATTTTGATATTTAAATGAAAAGATTGAAATATTAGATATATAAAAAATATAAGTATTATAGGACTCTATAAGTATTATAGACTCTATTCCTTAGAGTCTTATATTTTTACAGACATTCGCGACTAATGTAACATCTCAAGCTCATCATGTATCAAGAGCAAAACGTGGCCAAGCTGTTGGTACTATTCGCGGTTTTCGTGGATGCACAATATGGATGACTGGACTCTCTGGAGCTGGAAAAACTTCTATATCGTTCAAGCTAGAAGAATTTCTTGTATCCCAGGTAAAGTATTGATATTATATATATAATCAGATTTTTATTCATGATTATACATTGCAATATTTAATTATATTGCAGGGTATACCAGCTTATGGTTTGGATGGGGATAATGTACGGACTGGTTTAAATCGGAATTTAGGTTTTAGCAAAGAGGATCGAGAAGAAAATGTTAGACGAGTTGCTGAAGTAGCCAAATTGTTTGCCGATGCTGGTGTAATTACTTTGTGTAGTTTCGTGTCACCTTTCGAAGAGGATAGAAGAATGGCTAGAAAAATTCATGAAAATTCGGAATTACCGTTTTTTGAGATATTCGTTGATGCATCATTGAAAACTTGCGAGGCACGAGACGTTAAAGGTCTTTATAAAAAAGCTAGATCTGGTATCATCAAAGGTTTTACAGGGATCGATCAAAAATATGAAATACCAATGAAACCTGATTTCGTTGTTAACACGGAAAATTCAACGGTTGAGGAATCTACTGCCAAAGTTATTGAATTTCTTGAAAATCTTTCTATTATACCAAAGATGTACGGATTGGGAAGACCCGTTGATGAATTATTTGTTCATGAATCGATGATCGATGATGTTAAAAAGGAAGCACAACATTTACAAGCTATTGAAATCAACGAAATCGATTTACAATGGATTCAAGTTCTCGCTGAAGGATGGGCAGCACCGCTTAAAGGATTTATGACGGAAAAACAATATTTGCAAGTAAATATGTTCCATTTCTTTGAATATTTTTTTTCTCTTCTTTCTTTTTCTTGTTACTTCTCCGATATCCATACGAGGAATAAAGAAATATCTCGTTAACATTTCAGGCTCAACATTTTAATTGCTTAATGGAAAATGGCGTTCAAATAAATCAGTCCATTACAATAGTTCTCGCTATTAGTAGTATCGACAAGGAACGCTGTGAGAACGTAAAATCTATAACCTTGAAATACAATAAAAAAAATATAGCTATTCTTAGAAATCCGGAATTTTATTTTCATCGAAAGGAAGAACGTTGTTCGAGAGAATTTGGCACAAATGATCTCGGTCATCCTTATGTCAAAATGATACACGAATCAGGAGATTGGTTATTAGGTGGTGAACTGGAGGTATTTGAAAGAATACGATGGAATGATGGTCTTGACCAATATAGATTGACTCCTAATGAGATTAGAACTAAATGTCGTCAAATGGGTGCGGATGCAGTATTCGCTTTTCAGCTTCGAAATCCTATACATGATGGGCATGCTCTTCTTATGCAGGTAAAAAATATTACGTTATATTATTCGCGTAACGTTTTCATCGTATTCGTTGAATTTAGAAAGTATCAAACATAAGAATGATATTTTAAAGGACACAAGAAAACGTTTGCTCGAACGTAATTACCGTAAACCAGTCCTTCTTTTGCATCCTTTGGGTGGTTGGACGAAAGATGACGATGTACCATTGTCCGTTAGAATAAAACAACACCAAGCTGTTCTCGAAGATGGTATTTTACACGAGGATACTATTTTAGCTATATTCCCTAGTCCCATGTTATATGCAGGACCAACAGAAGTAAGAAACAAATTTATTAATATATTTAATATTGTCGCAAATAAACTTACACTATTCATATATTTCAAATTATTGTGCGAGTGTTTATCATTTTAATGATTTTTATTTTCACAGGTACAATGGCATGCCAAAGGTAGACTAATCGCTGGTGCTAATTTTTATATAGTTGGCAGAGATCCTGCCGGTATACCACATCCAAATAAAAATTCTACACCCGATGGTAATTTATATGACAGTAGTCATGGTGCTAAAGTACTTTCGATGGCACCTGGCCTTCAAAATCTTGAAATTATACCTTTCCGAGTAGCTGCTTACGATATAAAAGAACAAAAAATGGCGTTTTACGATCACGAAAGACATAATGATTTTATATTTATTTCTGGAACGAAAATGAGAGGTAAAAGTTGGAATATATTTTACATTTGTTAAATAAATTAATATATAATCAATGCTAATAAGATAAAGGAGGTTAAAAAAACTTTCTCTTAAATGAAATATTTGTTGATGTTTACATTAGCTTTGGCGAAATCTGGCGAGAATCCACCAGAAGGTTTTATGACACCAAAAGCATGGAAAATTTTATCAGAATACTATCAACGAATAAGCAATAAATGATACCTTCTCGATCAACCGGAAGATTAGATTTAATTAAGATAATATTTTGTAGATATTTATACTATTCAATAGCATAATACGATCTTGCCACTAAAAAATACAGTATAATTATTTATTTTCTAACGAAAGATTTAATGGAAATGAAATTCTAGATTAACAAAGAACACTATCCTTTTTTAATGTATATTTATAATCATTTAAATCTATATTTTTATAGGAAAACTAGAAACCATTTTGTAAGAATAATCTTATTGATAAAGAATGAAAACTATAATATATATATATATATATATTTTATTTTTTATTGCAATGCAAATTGAAACTATTTTCGAATGAATCATAGGAAAAAGAAATAAAATATATTATATATAATAAAATATAATATATACGCGTCTTTTATCTATACTTACGAATCCGTAAATATATTTGTTACTTGTATACAGCTACATAAATACTAAAAGGACAATCAAAATACTAAAAAACAATCACAAAAATGTACATATAAATAATTAACTTTTGTTTTATAAAAAAATATGGAAATAATAAAAATATATTGTAAATAACATATTTAAAAAATAATGATTTATATCATCTTATGGGAGAATAATAAAAAATCGTTGATTATTTGGAAATAAAATCAATGAATGAGTTTTACGTTTTCCCACCTTTTTCTAATATCTATCGACTTGGGGTACCTTTATTTAATTTTTATTAAAGGTACGGAGACACAGAGTATTCTTAACGTAAAATATACTTGATAGTCGAAGGATGAAAGAATATGGTAGGTGTATAGTTTTCAGCTAAAGGCTCTTTATCCTAGATAGTAGTCCATCTCCTTCAAAGGAATTCATTTTAATCTGGAAGATCTGTAATAGAGTGTCCACACAAATATCTAAATATATATATTTTATATTGTTTAAATATATATTATAGCGAAGGAAAATTATTTGCCTAAGCATTTGTAAACATTTAAACATAAAATATTCTCATTTTAACTATTATACTATTTAATAACGGAACAAAATAAAATCTTAATATTTATCTAATTCATGCAAATATTTTAATGATCTAGATTTTAGAGAAATATCTGCAACAGAAATTTTGCAATCAATATTGCATCATGCAGGATGACATACAATTTTACTAATCACATTAATTGACCAATTATAATTTACAAACTATAAATAACTTAATATATATATCGTTATTTAAACAAACAAAAAACTAAAATGTACTATCTGTGTGTGTTTTTTTTGTATTATGATATTAAAATTAACTTCACGTTTAAACAAAACAAATCAAAATTAATATTAAATGAAAATTTTTACGAACGATAAGTATACTTTTCCGAAATACTCTTTCGGTACAAAAATTTAATTATAATCTATAAAAGAAAAAAGAAAAACAAAAAATTAATGTAAATATATTTTTAATTCGCATAACATTTTATCCCACAAATATATATATATATATTATACACAAAAATTTATAACGTACGCGTATTTAACTCTGAATAAGAAAATAAAATAAAATAAAAAGCATTATTCTTAGTTTAGATAAAGACGACTCGTTTCTTAAATGAATTGGAAGACAAATTTGTTATTCAGTGTTAACATAATATCAACAAGTGCAATATTTAAGAGTTAGCACTATTATCACGTATCATTAGAGTACGTAATGTTCATGATTACTATATCATCGAATATTCATTACGATATACCATTACTGACACGTGAAAGCGTCACTATAATGCAATAATTAAGCATTAATCTATCGTATTGTTTAAATTATAATGAAGCATATATAGATACTACATAACTATGCGACAATAAAATCTAATTGAATCTAACAACAAATAATTAAAAATATATTTATGAGGCGATGCACGACATTGCACGCCTACCTTCTTCTTCGGAGTCGGATATTCGAGTTGTTTGAAGGGAACTCTGTTTAGACAAAGTTCTTAAACCACGTGGTCTTGGCGGTGGAGATTGTTTGTTCCAAATAGCTTCCAACTGATCGAAATGTTGGGACTGAGCCAATGCTGCTTGTTCTGGACCTAAGCCTGGTTGAGAACCAGCTAATCCAGCTTTACTAATTTCTTCCATAGAAGCACTAACACTGAATCGTCGTTTCAATCTTTCTTCGACAGTTGATACCGTTATACCTTAATATACATAATCAAAAATCCAATCTATGTAGGATATTTATAAAATTTAGATATATAGATAACAACTACGTTGGGTTTGCTCAAAAAAGTCGTGCCGATTTATATATATATATATATATATATTTTTTTTTAATACACAATGTATATACTTTTCTCAAACTAGGCACAAATTTTTCAGGCAATCCCAAAAATAAAAAAATAATAAGATACATACCTGTTGTAAGATGACCGTACTTGCGTTGCCACGTATACGTATCCAAAGAAACCTCTTTTTTCAATAATCTTCTAGCAGGACGTTTAGGACCGGGTGGTCGTAAATCTCTCGGAGCAACGTAAGGTGGTAATTTAACATATTGAGCTGGTGTATTATACAGACAAAGAATGGGCATGCATTTGTGTTCTAATAAGTGCAATGCTAATCTTGAACAATCGGTAGACATCTCAACACCAAGTATTGGTACATGAAGCATAATAGAATTTAAAGCAGTGCCTTTCTTCGTATCCCAAACTATTAAACTCTTATCCTCGCTACCAGAAACCGCCAGAATACCATCGCCAGACAATCTGACACAAGTCACATAACCGAGATGACCAGTTAGAGTATGCAAATCTGCTCCTGTGTTTATATCCCATACTATCAAATTAGCATCACGAGAACCAGACACGACGATAGATTTGTCAAGAATTGCTACCGCTACACAAGTTACGTGATCGGTATGACCTACCAACACCTGTAAAATAATTGTTACTTTAATAGATTTGATAAAGAAATAATTAACTTATCGTATTGAGTATAAATCTTTGATGTTTCATTGACCTGTGATAATTTTCCTCCGGCAAGTTGCCACACTTTAAGACTCATATCTCTAGAACCGGTAATAAGAGATTGTGAATCAGGCGTTACTACTAAACAAGTAATATCTTGTGAGTGAGAAACTTGATGTTTTTCTTCTGGACCAGCTCCTAAACTTATTATTCGAACTTGATTGTCCCCGGTACCACAAACCGCAAATCTGAAAGAATACAAATTCGTCGAAATATTAAATATCGTTATTTTATTTTAACGATATTAGAATTCTATTGTAATACCTCATGTCAGCGGCAACAGCAAAACATCGTCCTGGACCACAAACAGATTGAATCAACGTTCCACTATCCGCTGCCCATACTCTAATAATTCCAGCTCTGTCAGAGCTGACAACTCTTCTACCATCTAACATAGCTATGACAGAAGTAACAGTTGCTTGATGTCTAAATGTCGCTACAACAAGGCCTAATGTTAATCCCCAAACGCGCACTGTTTTATCTTCCGAACCTAAGAACAAATGTCTTTTTATTTATTCTATTTCTACTATATATTTATAAAGATTTACATCATGAATATAATCGATTGATATTTTACCCGAAGCTACGAATAATCCAGAGGCAGAAAATGTGATACACGTAACGCTTGCTATATGACCTTCTAATGTTGTCATTAATTCATGTGTATTTAATTGCCACAAATTGACTAATGAATCGACACCACCCGTAACTGCCATTGCACCATCCCTAGATATATCTAAACAGGATATAGGTGAAGTGTGTGGTTGAAGTGATTCTTGTTTCCCAAGTTTTAGTGGTTTTGAAGGAGCTTCTTCTCCTCGAAAACTCCAATAAGTTACACGTCCTCCTCCAGCAGTTATAAGGAAATCATCTTTTTCGGTAACCTATATATGCGGTCAAGTTTGTTTGAATTATTTCATTCTATATTTTTGTATATCATCAAAGATTTCGAGTTACCTTAACAGACGTAACATCTGCAGAAGGATTAGCAGGTAGGGTTTTGATAAGTCTACCACTGTGTATGTCGAAAACGGAAACTCTGCCTTCTGCACCACCAGCAATGGCTCTTCTACAATCTTTGGCAAGACATAAACTTCTAACAGGACCTTGATGACCTCTTAATGTATGTATTTCTGTTCCAGTAGCTAATGATCTTAAGTAAAGTTTCTGATCTTCACAAGCAGCCAACAAGAAGACAGAATCAGCTGATACATCAAGATAGGATACAGGAGAAGGTAACGATATGCTGTTGAGAAGAGTAAAAGTTTCTAAAGACCATAAACAGACTTTTCCATCTGTCGACCCAGATACAAGAACTTCTCCGGCTGAATCTACGCGTATTGCAGTAACGGGTCCTCTGTGATGATCAATTTTCACTACTAACTTTCCAGTGTGTAAACTAGTTGCAATGATACTCGAATCTTCCCCACCACTTACAATGATGGAATTATTTATAGCTGCTGTTAACGTAAGAACAGATGCTATGTGCTCACAAATTCGTAGTTTTAATGATAACTCCTTCATATCCCAAACGATAATGGAAGTGTCTTCGGAACCAGTTAATAGATATTGAGATTCTTGAGTAATCGCTAAACATGATATCGGACTAGAATGACCTAAAGTATAATATTTATAATAAATCATTCATAAATCATTGTCAAATCTGATTAAAAAGATACGTATGAAATAATTAATACCTTTAAAAGTATGTACTAGCTGACCAGACATAACGTGCCATAATTGAGCATTTCCTTCCGGTGGAACAACCACAACATGTTGACCCGATGGAGCAGCTTCAACTAAACGGACACCTTGTGGACAAGACAAAGCACGAATTTGAAGAGGTAGAGGAGGTTGTAGCCAACCATTTAAAGGAACTAAAAGAGGTGCTGTAAAACCATCGCACCATGCCATTGCTGCCATAACCATTCTGCTTACCTTTCGTACGAAGAAATGATTGACTAAATATTGAGAAGGCTTTCAAATTAAATACAAAATTAGAAAAATCTCTTACAAGATCTCCACCATCGTCCGCTACAGGTCTTAACCAACAAATAAGTTGTGCTCCAAGTTGAAGTGGATCTCTGGTAAGTACATCGCTCGATTTTCTAACTGCGTAATATACCAATTCCAAATCCCTTTCCAAAAGATACCTTCTTGCATGTTCGAGTACGCATCGTAAATAGCTAACAGAAATCATTTGTACAGCGGCTAAAAGAAAATCAAAAGCACAGACAGCCAATCTTTTGAGTTTATCAACATCGCCAGCTCGTAG